GGTATAGTTTTGTCGACAAAAGTCCACTTTTGTCGACAAAACTAGGTAGTCTAGACACAGCCCAAAATACTTCCTGCAGGGCAGGAGGAGACATCACACGCTCCTCCGCCCCCAAGCCCTGATTAGCCTGGGGGCTGTGGAGCTGCGCAAAGTTTCCTCCGCCCTGAAAGGAGTGCACAGCACTTCTAAATGCTGTATGCTCACGCAGGGTGGGGGCAGGGAGAAGGAACCTTCACGCAGCTCCCCCACCCCCAGACCCTGATTGGCCTGGGGGTAGGGGGAGTGCAGGAAGCCTCCTCCCGCCCTGCACGGAGTATGTAGCACTTCAAAGTGCCACGTGCTCCTTGCAGGGCCAGGATAGGGCGGAAGGAGGCTTTGCGCTCTCCTGCCCTCAGTCCAATCAGGACCTGGGGGTAGGGGAGCTGCACGAAGCTTCCTCTGTTGTGCTCTGGCCCTGAGGAGCATGTGGCACTTCAAAGTGCCATGTGCTCCTCACAGGGTGGGAGGAGGCTTCCTGCGCTCCCCTGTCCCAGGCCCTGATTGGCCTGGGGTTGGGGGAGCGTGGGAAGCCTCTTCCCTCCCTGCCAGGAGCAGAGGTGCCTATTGGGAAGGGAGAGCAAAGGGACTTCCCACCCCCAGACCAATCCGCCCCGGCCCCTTCTGGTTTAGGCCCCGCCCCTTCCTGGCAACCCTGGGACCACTTCAAAAATTCTTGGCCCAAAATTATTGCCCACCCCTGGATTATAGTCTCAGAGGCTACTAAAATAACTAACATAGCCTGCTCGCCTCTTAACCTTGGTGTCCCACATAACTGACTACTGAGGCACTAGGAGAAAGTTAATTATCATTATTTTTGCACTAAGCGAAAATGTTCAGCTTGGGTGCCTGAACATGTAGGCTACGTCTTCACTGCGAGTTTTTCTGGCAGAAAATATGCTAATGAGGGACTCATTAGACTAAGTCATGATCTCATTAGCATATTTTCTGCTGTTTCTTTTAGTGCAAGGGGTTTTTGTGCAAAAAGAAGCAGTGTGGACAGGGTTTTTTTGCGCAAAACCCCGCGCAAGTTCCTTATGCTCGTCTTGGAGAGACATAAGGATCTCGTGCAAAACGGGTTTTTTGCGCAAAAAAAATTTGTGCAAAACCCCTGTTTTGCGCAAGTTCCTTATGCTCGTCCTTATGCTTTGTTTTGCGCAAAAAAAAAAAAAAGTCTGCACCGTTTCTTTTTGCACAAAAAGAAATGGCAGAAAATATGCTAATGAGATCACGACTTATGCTAATGAGTCCATCATTAGCATATTTTCTGCTGAAAAAATTCACAGTGAAGACGTAGACATAAATATCAGGTGACCTGATTTTCAGAGGTGTTGAATACCTGCAGCTTCCCTTGAAATCAGCTAGGGCTGTCAGATACCCAGGATCTCTCCAACCAAAAACCCCAATGAAATGCCCCCTTCCCTGACTTTCAATGTCTAATTTCAAGCACATCAGTGTGAAAATTTTGGCCTGATTGCTTTCCTGCTATTTCTTGTCCTAATCTTGTCTTCCTTGTTTCTCTGTATTGCTTCCTTCTTATACCTTTTAGAAGGATGAGCTCTTGATAGGGGCTTGTGGCTGAGCTCAAGTACAGATGTACATTTCTGCTGCATATGTGGCACTGTGCCTCTGGATCAGGTGCCCACTGGGATTGAAATAAAGACCTCTGTGATCTCAAAATATTCCCTTGCACTGAAGAATCAGTTTCCATAGTTCACCAGCAGCAAATTTAGAACTGCTATATCACTAGAGGACAGAGCCGCATTTTGAGCAGGGGCTATATTAGCTGATCTTTTTTCTTCTTCTGTAAAGGGATTCTGTACTGAACTTGTGTAAGCTTGCATGATTTACCAACCGTTGCTGATCCTGTTAATGCGCAGGACTATTCCGAATGTGCCTTCCCGCTGCCCTCTAGGAAGCATGACAGAATGCTTATCTCCTCAGGGGCCAAAAATTCTGGATGCCTGAATCAATTAGAGTGATTTGTGAGTCAGGGAGGAAGGAGCTGGTTGATTGTTTGTGTGGCTCCTACTCTTGGTGTGCAAGCGCACACAACTGGATTCATTTGGCCAAATCAAGTTGATTTTGGGACTACGCCTGTGCCATAAGTATCCTTGTGTTCCCTTACACCCCCTATGAAATGGGACCAGTCATCTCCCAATTCCTTTTTGCCATCCATGGCAGGAAGATGGAACCCTTGCAGAGGCAGGCTGCTGCTCTGCAAATCTATTGTGCAGAGTGTTAATGATTAGCTAATATAGATGTTAAGCTAGTTTTTTTTAAATGTTCCTGTTGGCTTTAATAAAATACATTTTGAAAGGTAG